GTCTCTATCGCCTGATGACGTGAAGGTAGGATGTGTTCAACATCGACTCCTGATGAGTGAGAGAGTGAGTGATGGATGTTGGTTTATATTGACTGATGACGTAAAGGTAGGATGTGTCCAACATCGACTCTTGGTGAGTGAGAGAGTGAGTGATGGATGTGGGTCTCTATCGACTGATGACGTAAAGGTAGGATGTGTCCAACATCGACTCCTGATGAATGAGAGAGTGAGTGATGGATGTGGGTCTCTATCGACTGATGAGGTAAAGGTAGGATGTGTTCAACATCGACTCCTGATGAGTGAGAGAGTGAGTGATGGATGTGGGTCTCTATCGACTGATGACGTAAAGGTAGGATGTGTCCAACATCGACCCCTGATGTGACGAATGTGAGAAATAGTTATATGTGTTGCACATTAAGACTGGATAGAATCCTCTGTAGTGTAAGCCATATTATATCAATGATTGAAGGAAGATGCCTGATGGAGTTCGTGTTTTATTTGACCAATATTACAAAAAGCAAATGTCACTTCAAAAATATACACACAGTTACAGCAGTAGCTGCTCGTATTTCAATAGTATGAGCAATTTGTAAATGTGAACACCTGTTGAATATACACGTGGAAAATTAACACGTCTTCTTCCTGTGTACCCCACACGTCTGTGTATCTTTCAGAAGTATCTCCCTGTACCAGCTGTTGGATTGTTAGAACACCGCATGTTTCTCACAGCACTGACTCGGGTCATGTGATACACAGAAGCAGAGGACGTAATTGAAGGTTGTCAAATAACTGGAACTGTTACACAATGTGTCATGAAATATCAGCAACACCACGATATTAGTGGCATTATTACAGCACCAGGTCACTTTGTACAATGATATATGTTTGGTGGGACAACTTACATAGGGTGTAACAGGGAATCTACAATGTAACAGGGTATGTAGTATGTAACAGGGCATATACAATGTAACAGGCTATACAACATAACCAGTGATACAATGTGAAAGGATAAACAATGTAACAAGATATACAATATGACACTAGACATACAATGTAACACTAGATATACAATATGACACAAAATATACAATGTAACACAAGATATACTATGTAATACTGGATATACAATGTAACAAAATATACAATGTAACACAAGATATACACATTACCACCTTTCTGTGTACCCCAAACTTCTATGATACAATCGTGAGTGAGTGAGTTGGGTTTAACGCCGCGTTTAACAGTATTCCAGTTTCATCAGGCATGTCAGCTTAATGTTGGAGGACAGCCCGAAAGTGATGCAGGTCTCCAACGCTTACTACTTCGGTGAAACCCACGAGCACGGGTATGGTGCTGACAAACCTAGAAACATAATCAGGGCGAACAGGGATTCGAACCCACAATCATAGGTTCCCGGTGTGTCCAGGGGACGCAATTCTGCACAGCGAATAGCGGCGTCTCAGACAACTTTGCCACCAGTGCCTCCTGTGATACAGAGGAAGTGATTGAAGGCTGTCAAACAACCAGAAGTGTCACACAATATGTCATGAAATACTGGAAAAAAAGTGTCATTATTACAGTAAAGGGGATCACTTTGTACAAAAACATGTGCTTGAAGGGACAACTCACATAGCGTGTAACGGGATATATACAGTGTAACACGTGATGTACGATGTGACACAAGATATACAAAGTAACACTGGATATACAATATAACACGTGATATACAATGTGACACACGACATACAAAGTAACACTGGATATACAATTTAACACGTGTTATACAATGTGACACAAGACATACAATGTAACACTGGATATACAATATAACACGTGATGTACAATGTGACACACGACATACAAAGTAACACTGGATATACAATTTAACACGTGATATACAATGTGACACAAGACGTACAAAGTAACACTGGATATACAATATAACATTAGATATACAATGTAACAAAAGATATACAAAGTAAAACGGGATGTATACTTCTTGTCATGTGTGGAAATGTACAGTCACCTCCACGTTTATCCAGGTGTATTATTCATGTGGGTTGAATTGCAGGACTCCGTACTGGTTAGATACAGATACTGCCAACAGAGGAATCAAATATACTCAACAACAAAAGTTCTGTGACACCAATATTTTGGTGTATTTATGAAACAAGTAAAGTTTGGTTTTGATTATTGTAGTACGTGTATGGAATCAAGTCAGAAAAACGCAGCTGCTACAGAAAAGCATGCATTCAATGCAAAAGTTGACTTTTATGCAAGCCCCATGCATTTCACAACCCAAGAATTGGTATAAAAACGTGTGTTAACGGGATTCCATATGCATTGTTAAGCATCGTGCTGACAACAGCCACTCAGAAAAACAACAAACATACGCAATTATTCAACATTACGAAATGCCACGCCTGCAAGCCTTTGATATGATTGAAACAGGATCGAGTCAACGTGATGTTGCAAGACAATTTAACGTCCACAGAAACACCATTTGGTGTTTATGGCAACTTTGGCAACAGATGAATGCAGTCAGAGACCATCCTCGGAGTGGCAGGCCATGCGCAACCAATAATCGACAAGACAATTGGATTCGAACAACACACCTACGAAATCGATCCTAGCCAGCAACAGTGACTGCAAGAAGCATCCCGAATTGCTTCACAAACCGCACGTCGCCGCCTCAGATGTGCAGGGATTGTCCCCAGAAGACCCGCCAGACGTTCAATTTTGACAGGAAACCACCGTCAAGCACGTCTACAGTGGTGCGGCAGCGTTATGGTATGGGTAGGGATTACAGCAAGACAGAGGATCCGTTTGATAATGGTAGAGGGAAATCTCAATGGACAGCGCTACCGCGAGGGGACATCTGCCCTGTGGTTCTACCTTTTTGCGTTGTCATGGCCCAGACATTACCTTTCAACATGACAACGCCCTCATATTGCTCGACTTGATCAGGATTGTCTTCAACAAAACAACGTGAATGTCATTCCCCTTGCCGGCTCGCTCCCCTGATCTCTCACATGTGGGATGAGATGGATCGACGCCTTCGACATCAACCGCCTGTTCCACAGACACTCTAGGAACTTCGAAACATCCTCCAGCAGATATTGACATATATCCCACAGGAGTTTGTGCGACGCCTGGTCCATTCAATGAGACGAAGATGTGTTGTTTGCATCGCAACTAGAGGTGGACACACACGCTATTGATTTGTAAATTGACATTTTGTCATGTTGATCGTTTTATATGAAATCACGCGTTTTCTGAAGTCAGTATGGCAAATTTAAACATTTGAACACTTGCAGAAGTCGTATATCTGTTTTAAGCCGATATTGTTTCAGATTTAGTAAAACTCATAACATTTGCATTAAATCATATTCAATGTCACAGGAACTTTTGTTGTTCAGTATATATAACTTTGCGTTGTCTTTTTTGAAGAGCGTATATTCCCCATCAAATCAGTCCATAGTAACGTAGCTCACCAAAGATGGCCACATGACACAAGTTGCTGTCAGCTTTGACATTTTAATATTTCCTTCATAAATACTGAGGATTTGAAACTAGTACTAAATTCTATTGATTGCCGGAAAATATGATTGCATCAAAAACAAAAGAAAACAGATTTTTTCTGAACCAGGACATCCATTCCCAGAGAAAATAAGACCTAATAAAAGTGCAAAGGTGAATTCAAGGTAAACAATTTGAATAAAAAATAATATGTACGTCACACCACAAAAAATCTGACATGGAATTTGAGAGAATTTAGGTGCAGAGTCAAAGAACAAATATCAAAATATACTCACACGCAAACGAAACGCAAGTGGCTTTAAGTAAATAGGTAACAGACACGGAACCATAAATTGATACGAGTTTTAGCATGTAGCGAAGCCTGATGGTGTTATCAATGTTTTTGGATGCATTTTGTAAGCCCCGAGTAAAAACGCAACAAAAGAACTGAATCGCCAAAACACACCATTTCAATGAATATGCGGGTATCATGCACCCATTTCTCGTGAAATCGAAAATGCACGAACTGTCACGAACTGTAGTGGGCAACAACTTTGGCCGATTCTTGGACCTACCACTCCTTGGTCAACAATGCCACACCTAACTCATATTCAGAGAAACCAGGCTATCGGACGTTTGGAAGCTGGAGAGTCTGTCCAAGATGTTGCCCATCATTTCAACGTTACCATTACCACAAGTTACCTGCATCGATACAATGCTACACAGACCACAGATGACCTTCCTCGGAGTGGTTGTCCTAGGGTCACCACACCTCGACAAGATCGGCAGATTACCTGTCAACACCAGCGACATCCGTTCCTAACTGCAAGTGAAAGTGCTAGGCAGACCATACGAACACATAATCGACACATTAGCCGAGCATTGTGATCCGACGTCTCCGTTCCAACAACCTCAGATGTCGCCGAAGAGCTTTCTGAATGTTGGTCACAGCGTCACTGCTCAGGGATATATCGACCATGTGATCAGACCCCACGTTGTTCCATTTTTTGCACATCAACAACACATTTTCCAGCAGGACAACGCTCGTCCCTATGTTGCCAGAGCTACCATGGCCATTTTGCAACAACACAACATCCGTGTTCTAGATCTACCGTGGCCAGCCCTCAGCCTGATCTGAACCCCATCGAACACTTCAAAGGCGTCTTCACAACGTACTATCAGTCCCTTCAACTGCCGATGAACTACGCACAGCTGCTCTGGAAGTGTGCAGGAGGATCCCTAAGGCCTTCACAAATCGTCTGATCCACGCAATATACAGGAGATGTGTGGCAGTGATCAATGCTAATGGTGGTCACACCAGGTATTGACTGAACTTTTGGGTATTGACCCGAAACTGTGTAAGCCCTTAACATTTAAAAACAATAACATGTCATCTACCTTTGAATCCATTAAACTGTCTTCTTTCAAATTTTTGGCAATCTTGCCCTATTATTATTTCTTCTCTTTACTGTTGAAAATAAATAACATGTATACTGCATACTCGACTTGCGTTTTATTACAAAAAAGGAACATATATGAGAGTCCCACTACTATCTACATATGTGTTGCATCATATATCATACTTTACACAAACAAATGGCTGGATAGTGGTCATAAATAAACTTGATAAAATGTGGTTCCTCCAGAGCAAAGTAAGGTGTCGCCGCTGTGAGACCATCCATGTTAAGTTTTGTCTTTTTGAGGAGTTGATGTTTATAGAACCTGTGGGACGTTGGGGAGTATTATTGAGCAAGGTCGACATACAAAAGGTCAAATAATGGTCCAAACTTCAGATTCGTGGACAAACTTGACAACAAGAGGTTTCTTCATTATGGTTAGCATGGGGACCGGATGACATCCCTTTGGACAAATTGTTGAGAACAAGCCTGTCAAGTGTCAGGGCAGAGGTGGTTTTCATGGACCAGATGGACACACTTCTCACACTGCACCAAATTGCTTCAGAATATCAACCATTTCATCGTTGTCTATCGCGATCTGCAGTGATGGTATCTGGATACTGCACCATATTGATTAAGAAACTTAACCAACGAATGGTTGCGTTGTTTTTTTGCGATATCAAGTGATGTTCCGGCACAACCTGTTCTGTTGATGTCAACGATGTCATGAGAGACAATGCACTCTACAATCTGAACATTGCCTCCATCACAAGCCACATGAAGGATGTTGTCACCATTCTTATCCTTCACTGTCAGGTCACATCCTTTACTCACAAGTAGGTCAAACACTTCCTTGTGACCCTTTAACACTGCCACCATCACTGGTGTTCTGCGCACATAATCTGCACTGTCCATGTCAACTATGTTATGAGAGACAATGTACTCTACAATCTGAACATTGCCTCCATCACAAGCCACATGAAGGATGTTGTCACCATTCTTATCCTTCTCTGTCAGGTCACATCCTTTATTCACAAGTAGGTCAAACACTTCCTTGTGACCCTTTAACACTGACAGCATCACTGGTGTTCTGCGCACATAATCTGCACTGTTGATGTCAACTATGTTATGAGAGACAATGTACTCTACAATCTGAACATTGCCTCCATCACAAGCCACATGAAGGATGTTGTCACCATTCTTATCCTTCACTGTCAGGTCACATCCTTTACTCACAAATAGGTCAAACACTTCCTTGTGACCCTTTAACACTGCCACCATCACTGGTGTTCTGCGCACATAATCTGCACTGTTGATGTCAACTATGTTATGAGAGACAATGTACTCTACAATCTGTGCATTGCCTCCATCACAAGCCACGTGAAGGATGTTGTCACCATACTCATCCGTCACTGTCAGGTCACATCCTTTACTCACAAGTAGGTCAAACACTGCCTTGTGTCCCTTTAACACTGCCAGCATCACTGGTGTTCTGTCCACATAATCTGCACTGTTGATGTCAACTATGTTATGAGAGACAATGTACTCTACAATCTGTACATTGCCTCCATCACAAGCCACGTGAAGGATGTTGTTACCAAACACATCCTCCACTGTCAGGTCACATCCTTTCCTTACAAGTAGGTCAAACACTGCCTTGTGACCCTTCAACACTGCCAGCATCACTGGTGTTCTGTCCACATAATCTGCACTGTTGATGTCAACTATGTTATGAGAGACAAGGTACTCTACAATCTGTGCATTGCCTCCATCACAAGCCACATGAAGGATGTTGTCACCATACTCATCCGTCACTGTCAGGTCACATCCTTTACTGACAAGTAGGTCAAACACTGCCTTGTGACCATTCAACGCTGCCCTTATCACTGGTGTTTCTTGAGATATATTTCTTCCATTGAAGTTGGCTTTGTTCTGTGCAAAAATAGATTCTACTATATCTACATTTCCTCCTGTGCAAGCGAAATGAAGGATGCTGTTTTTTTCGTCATCCTTCACAGAGAGATCACACCCTTTGCTCATCAGCGTAAACATGTCAGCATCCCCGCTCTCTGCTGCAAACATTGCTGCTGTTTTCCCATGTTTGTCCTGTACAAAGTCAACTCGTTTCTTCACAGACAAAACACACTCAGCCAACTGGAGATTCCGTGTCTGAGCAGCAACAAGTACCACGTCATTCCCATCATAGTCCTGTCTGTGTACATCAGCTCCGACAACAATCAGGTGCTGACAGATGTCTGCGTGTCCACTGAACGCTGCTTCCAACAGGGGTGTTCTCCTGTCTCTGTTCACAGCATTTATGTCAAACATCCCTGATGACAGGAGATGCTCCACTATAGCCTGGTTACCTCCCTTGGATGCAAAATGTAGCAGTGTGTTCTTGTCAGTGTCTACAACTGACAGATCTCCCCCTGTATTAAACAATGTGTCAAAAATGTGTTTATGTCCTCTCTCTACACAATACGAGACAGGTGTTTTATTATATCTGTCTGTCTCGTTTACATCCTTACATCCCACATCCTGTACAATACCCAAGTTTCCCCCTTGACTTGCGTAGTGAAGAACTCCACGTGTCTTTGTATCCTTTAATGACAAGTCACACTGGTTTTTAGTTAGAAACTCAAACATGATTCTGTGTCCTGCAGCTGCTGCTAACATCACTGGAGTCCTCCCGCTGGCATCCCCCGTGTTGATGTCAACCTTGCCCTTTGACAGGAGGAACTCTGCCAGTTCCACGTTCCCTGTTTCTGCTGCTGTGTGGAGCAGACTCAGACCACTCACATCCACAAGTAACATGCTCGATCCTTTCTCCTCCAAGTGTGATTTCAATTTCGAGATATAATGTTTCTTGTGTGTCAACATGAACCTATTCAGGCCATGTTCTCTTGCTCGTAGAAACTGTGACATGTTCAGGCAGTCACCAACATGTCCATAAGAGAGTGTCTCCGACATAGTGAAGTTCCCAGGAGAGATGTGACAGTTCTGTAACAGAAGTAACTGAAACACATCTCTGTGGCCTCTGCATGCTGCAATCATCAGAGGTGTCTTTCCATACTGGCCTCTGTGGTTGATGTCAAACAGCTTACTAGACATCAGATGTTTGACAATCCGGACACTACCGCCCTGACATGCCAGATGTAGGATAGTATCACCGTTATCATCAACACCAGTCAGGTCACACTTCCCTTCATCTGCCAGATACTTATACAGCTGACCATGACCTTTCAGTGCAGCCATCATGACAGGTGTCATCAAGTCCTGTCCTGGCAGATTCTTCCAGTTCTCCATGTGGGGAAGCAGTAACTTGACAACATCTGTATATCCCCTCAAAGAGGCCAGATGGAGGGCAGAATTTCCGACTTTGTTCATGATCAGACATTCTGCATCATCTTCTAGTAAGATGTCGACCATGTTGGCATTATTCCTGTCCACAGACATCATAAAAAGAGAGTTTCCATCAGCATCTGTATAGTCTGGTGTATATGTGATATCTCCCCTCTGTAGATCCAGCAGCTGCTGTCGTAGATACAGGAAGGACTTGGTGTCTTGTAGTCTGATACAACAAGCTAGTTCTTCACTGACATGTACCTGTGACAGTTCCTGTTTCTGTAACACCTTCTGACACAGGTAATCATTGCCAGACTGTAGGACCCAGTACAAGAAGCACCTTAAACCAGTGGAAGAACCAGCTGTATCCTGTAAATGTAGAACATTCACAAAACTGTCCCCGAGCTGTGTCAGGAACCTGTCTATGTTGTCCTCCCTGCTGAGAACTGGGTGACGGAATGTGTGTCTGAACTTCCCTCTCCTTGTGTCTTCTACCAGCTGTGTCAGAAACATGTTTGTGTTGTGACTGGAGATGACGATGGTTTTATCAGGCAAGTCTGTGAGATACTGTTTGTTGTCAGTTTCATATAAAACTTTGCAGTGTTTCCATAGAACTCCAGGAAACATGCTGTCAACAACAAACATACAGGCGTCATATATGACAGGCTCTGTGAAACTAATATCGTCGCCAGACTGACATAGATAGGTGGCACACAATCTGTGTAACATGTCAGGAAGATCATCTGTTCTTAATTCGGGAAAGAGAGACTGAAACTCTCTCGAACCATCGATATAATAACCACTCTGATCACGCTCATCACTTTCATCACTGTCATAGATATATGGATATGGATAGTAGTCTGCCACTAGGTTCCCAGAAACCAAGATATATATCATTGTAGCAGAATAATCAACATTTCTAAGTAATGTTTCTATTTCTTTTCTGAATTGTGAATGTGGATATGCGAAAAATGATACAGGATCTGTGGTAGGTCTGTCTTGAGAGAAGTGTTTGATGACCTTGGGGAAACCGACATATGAAGGAAGGTTAGCTATAATCTCCTCCCGTGTGTCTGATGGAATGTCTGTCTGCATCTCCAGCATCTGGGAATATTCCTGCTTTGTTCTGTCCAAGTTCTGTCTTCCTATCTGTGTTATGTCCGTCTTTCGATTGAACGTATCTCGTTTGCAGTTCGCGTATATAATAAGAACACAAACAAGCTTGTTGGTATAAGTTTTGTTGTGTATCTCTTTGACAAAGTTTGAATATACCCAGTGATCTGCCATGTCATCAATCACCACCAGTGTCGGTTTAGTTGCCTGGAATACATCCTTGTTCAAGTCCTCCCATCTGCTGTAGAAGACTGTGTTGTATCCTTGTTGCTGGTAGTCACAACACAGCATGTGTCCTATTGTGGTCTTACCTTCCCCAGGACCACCAGTCAGCATCACCAGGTTGTGTTGTTGTAGCTTGTCTCGGACTTCCTGGTAGGCAGCTGTCTTCACAAATAATCTCTCCCAATCTGAAACATATGGCTCATTTGTCAAAAGCTGAAGACAAAATAACATATACACATACTCATAGCGATACAACCACAGATACATGAAGTAAAATAACATACAGAAACTGTATCTATTCATAACAGCAACACTCCAGAATAAACACTTTTACAATCCAAATTGTAACAGTTACTTTATTGTCTACGTGCTTATCTTGATTAATCCCTACATTCATTAATGTTGTGACGAGTATTGATTCAACATTCCATATCTAACATGCAGCACCCATGCATGCTTCGAAACGTCAGGAATCCTGTTGGAAAATGGATCACATGTCAAAAGCCGAAGAAAAAAATAACATACACATTATAATATTCTTGTAAAGATATAACCGCTGAACAACCACAGAACAACCACTTTTATGATTCTGTGACGAGTATTAATTAAATATTCCGGATCTAACACGCATCGTCAAAGCTAAACAATTGTCCTTTAAAGGAGAAAGTGTATAGTATTACTGTTTGTAAATCAGATATTGAGAGTCAAATTCTACCTGTGAGTTTTCTTGATGGCCTTTGATGCTGAGTCATCGTCCTGAATATGTCAACCATCTTCCCATCTCTGGAAGTCAAGGACTGATGTACAGACAAATGCGCTGCAGTTGTGTGAAGTTGCTGGATCCTGGTCAGGAAGTTCCGAGAACTTTTGTATATGTCTGGCGATACGACGCCATGAACGGGGTGAAAGTTGGTGCAAGTTCTGCTCCTGACAGCGACCGTCAGAGCCCGGGCCTGTGTGGAGTTGTAAAGAACAGCGTCAGGCTCATCTCTGGAAACAAACGTCAGGACGAGAACCACTCCGTCTGTCTTAAAGATGTAGGCGTCGCAGATGACGCTGTGTGGAGCTGGCACCTCCTCCTCTGGCTCCAGGAACGTCAGTGTAGGGGAGTTGATGTAGACGAAGTTTAAATCAGGTATGGATCTCACAGATGTTAAAATATCCGGCCTTACAAACAGCTTCACGTCTATTGGGTGAATGCAGTCTGCAACTGTTATAAAGACAACGCAATGAAAACATGCTGACGTTTTTCCGAAGGGTCACTTCATTTGCACCTGATTTCAGTTGTGTAATAATCACTGACCAGCTGTTGTAATACTATTGTAATAACCTTATTTATCATCTAAAGCTGGCTACCTCATGATACATCTCTTGAGTCTCCAAGGAAATATTGCTATTATGACATTGCATCACAATGCTTTGCCGACCATTGTGTCATTGGTTGCCATGATCTCACAAGGAAAGGACATCACCAATCGTTCTGCTACTGAACTGGTCAGCTGTACGTTTTACACTAGTTACTACTGTCTACAAGCTGTAAAACATGGAAGCATGATTTTGTAAGTTGAATAAAATATCACCATCGTGACTTTTATCTCCCCGGCAAGACATTGAGATTTATTAATTATCAACTTGAGTTCATATATTTGATATAAAAAGACACAATTGATTTCGTATGCTTTGGAATTTAAAAAATAACATCCAATACATAACTGAATATAGTTGTTACCAATTCGCAGTATGAAAAATATATCAACTTTACTTACTACTGTCAGGTGTGTCAAATAGAATAAATTGTACATTACTAGTCACACAAGTAGGAATTGGCATGATTAATTATAAAAGTATATTATAAATTATCAGTGCAAATTGACGCGCTTCTTTCAATGTCGATCTTGTTCACCTTTTACGACAGCTTCTCTGGGTTTTTCCCCTTCCCCGGAAACGGAGGCGACGCCCTCTTGGAGGCACACGCCACCGGAAACGGATGTGCCGCCATCTTGGATGCGCACGCAGGACCCATCATGCCCTGTGCGCATGCGCAGTCACGTGACCAAACCGAAACCAGAAGTGACGTCATCAGACCAACCGACCAATCGGAAGCCAGGAGCGGTACCAGGGTACCGCTACCAACTACTGATAATGATACTTGTATTGCTGAAATGAATCAGTGTGAGATATACCCCTACCATCAAAGTCCAGATACTTGAGCCCTGGTGTCCTCTGTGGTCTGGTGATGGAGAGCTGGACCTCCCCGTCAGAGCTGTAGGCGCTGGACAAATCCGAATCTTCACTCTCGGTGGACGACATTCTGACTTCTGTGAGATAGCGCTCTTTGATTTATATGATAAAGTCTTTTCCCAAAGACACAAAACACACAGTTAAGTCAAATTTTGTTGTATTCTCTTACAAATATTGAAATCCAAGTGTCAAGCCAGTCACTATCTGTTCCAACTTAATGATAAGTACAATGCAAAACTAAATATATTTTCAATAAAGGCTTGAGTAAAATAAGAATACAGTCACTGTATTCACTGCACGTCTTTTATGTACGGGAATAGATTATGTTCTGTGTGTTTAGATTGTGTTCACTCTCAGTCTCCACCTCATTTGTTTGTATCACTTTCCACGAAGGGAGCTGCAGGATTCTTCGTAGCCACTCAGACCTTTCCATTCTGCATATACCATGATTCTGTATTTCATAAATTCTTGGCCCCTGTTTGTCACAGAAGACAATCCCACCAAAGAACCTCACTGCTACTTCAAGTACACACTTGTTCCCTACGCCAGGGAGTCTATGGATTCCTATTTGGACCAGGTCAGACGGTGGGTGACCAAATTCACCAGTGAAAGATAACACACAAAGTTCCTTGTTTAGCTTGATTTGCAGACCTTCCTTAAGTTCTTCTGGATTATCAACCTGAAAACCGACAAAATAGGGTACTTTAGTCTTGTAACCGCTCTCTGTGACCACTCTTTCCTCTACTCCCACATAATATGACCCTCCACCAGGAACTTTAGACATCGACGTTATATTGTCCTTGAGTTTAAGATCTTCCCAAATATACTGCACATGTGAGATGTCATTCTTTGGACAGAACAGTTTCAGTTCAACATTCTGAGATTCTTGGTACAGCTGCAGCTTGTCTTGATCAATTCCCTTTAAAGCAGGTGCACCATGTGATGCCTCGTATCGAGAATGTGCCAGCAAGTAAACTAAATTAAATGTTGTAGGGCTTGTGTTTTCAAAGTCATTACATATCTTTGTGTTAACATTTGCTGTTGAAATTCCGCATGTGCGGGTTACATCTATCAATAAAACATCGTTAACGTTTTCAAAGCATGGTATCTCATGCAACCATGTCGTGCGATAATTATCCACATAGGAAGATCCACACTCAATCAGGTCCTGTAGAGTTTTGTCCACAAACTCATGGAAGTACTCCAGATACCTGTCTCCCTCCTTCTGTCCGTGTAGGTGAACCAGCAGATGTCCCCCGAGCGTGTTCCTGAGAGCTGACACTTTCTTCTCTATGTCCTGGAGGATCTTCTTCTTCCCCTTCTTGACCTCCTTATTCTTTCCTGGACCAGTGATGATGCTTCTGTCTGCGTGAACGATGAAGCTGTGTGGAGCAGTGCTGTACTGTCTATATTCACGTTCAAGGGATGTGCATCGTTGACACATATCTGAAATGATAATAATAACATTAATAATAATAATCAGGACCAGTCACTTCCCCCTTGAAACCGTCAATGTGTGATTTTGCATTATCATGTAAATATGAAATGTAAAGTATGTTATGAATTTAAAGAGACTGTCCAACACATTGTCAGTGGATGCCTAGCATTGGCACACACAATATCTTAAAGGACATGGAGCAGCTCGATCATTTTATTACCATCTTCACAAAGCTTGTGGTTTTGACACAGAGGTCCATCCATGGTACGACTCAGAATGAGTGGAGGGCGTCATGGAAAATGATGAATACAAAATTCTTTGGAATAGGCCCGTACACAGTCTCAGACGTGTCCAGGCCAAAAAACATGATTTTGTCCTTTTTTGATAAATCCAATGAAATTAACGTATTAAAGTATAAAATTGCTCAATCCTTAAGTCTAATGCTTTAAATTATAAGTTTGCTCAACTCCCATGTGCGATGAAGTAAAGTATAAGTTTAGAAATTAGAAGTTTGCTCAACTTCCATATGTAGTGAATTAGGTTTAAGTGTCATCAATCCCCATGTGTAGTGCATTGAAGTATAAGTTTGCTAGGCCCCCATGTGTGATGTATTAAAGTAGAAGTTTACTCAATCCCCATGTGTGATGTATTCAACTATAAGTTTGCTCAATCCCCATGTGTGATGTATTAAGCGATAAGTTTACTCAATCCCCATGTGTGATGTATTCAACTATAAGTTTGCTCAATCCCCATGTGTGATGTATTAAGCGATAATTTACTCAATCCCCAACTGTAATGCATTAAAGTAGAAGTTTTTTTAATCCCAATGTGTGATGTATTAAAGAAGATGTTTGCTTAATCCCCATATGTGATGTTTAAAAGAAAATATTTGCTGAATCCCTATGTGTGATGTATTAAACTATAAGTTTGCTCAATCCCCCTGTGCGATGTATTAATGTATAAGTTTGCTCAACCCCCATGTGTGATGTATTAAACTGAAAGTTTGGTCAACCCCTATGTGTGATGTATTAAAGTTAATGTTTGCTCAATCCCAATGTGTAGTGCATCAAAGTATACGTTTGCTCAACCCTTATGGGTTGTGCATTAAAGGATAAGTTTGCTCAACCTTCATGTGTTGTGCATTAAAGTATGCATTTGCTTTATACTTATGTGTAGTGCATTTAAGTATAAGTTTGTTCAACCCCATGTGTAGTGCATTAAAGGAGAAGTTTACTCAACCCCCATGTGTGATGTATTAAAGTAGAAGTTTGCTCAATCCCCATGTGTGATGTATTAAATTATATGAATGCTCAATCCCTATGTGTGATGTATTAAACGATAAGTTTGCTGAATCCCTATTTGTGATGTATTAAACTGAAAGTTTGGTCAACCCCCATGAGTGATGTATTAAAGTATACGTTTGCTCAACCCATATGCGTGATGTATTAAAGTTAATGTTTCTTCAATCCCAATGTGTAGTGCATTAAAGTAGAAGTTTGCTCAACCCTTATGGGTTGTGCACTAAAGAAGAAGTTTTTTTAATCCCAATGTGTGATGTATTAAAGAAGATGTTTGCTTAATCCCCATGTGTGATGTTTAAAAGAAAATGTTTCCTGAATCCCTATGTGTGATGTTTTAAACTATAAGTTTGCTCAATCCCCCTGTGCGATGTTTTAAAGTATAAGTTTGGTCAACCCCCATGTGTGATGTATCAAACTGAAAGTTTGGTCAACCCCCATGTGTGATGTATTAAAGTTAATGTTTGCTCAATCCCAGTGTGTAGTGGATTAAAGTAGAAGTTTGCTCAACCCTTATGGGTTGTGCATTTAAGGATAAGTTTGCTCAACCTTCATGTGTTGTGCATTAAAGTATTTATTTGCTCAATCCTTATGTGTATTGCATTTAAGTATAAGTTTGTTCAACCCCATGTGTAGTGCATTAAAGGAGAAGTTTACTCAACCCCCATGTGTGATGTATTAAACTATATGATGACTCAATCACCATGTGTGATGTATTAAATTATATGAATGCTCAATCCCTATGTGTGATGTATTAAACGATAAGTTTGCTCAATCCCTATTTGTGGTGTATTAAACTGAAAGTTTGGTTTACCCCCATGTGTGATGTATTAAAGTATACGTTTGCTCAACCCCTATGCGTGATGTATTAAAGTTAATGTTTCTTCAATCCCAATGTGTAGTGCATTAAAGTAGAATTTGCTCAGCCCTTATGGGTTGTGCACTAAAGTAGAAGTTTTTTTAATCCCAATGTGTGATGTATTAAAGAAGATGTTTGCTTAATCCCCATGTGTGTTGTTTAAAAGAAAATGTTTGCTGAATCCCTATGTGTGATGTATTAAACTATTAGTTTGCTCAATCCCCCTGTGCGATGTTTTAAAGTATAATTTTGCTCAACCCCCATGTGTGATGTATTAAAGTTAATGTTTGCTCAATCCCAGTGTGTAGTGGATTAAAGTAGAAGTTTGCTCAACCCTTATGGGTTGTGCATTTAAGGATAAGTTTGCTCAACCTTCATGTGTTGTGCATTAAAGTATTTATTTGCTCAATCCTTATGTGTAGTGCATTTAAGTATAAGTTTGTTCAACCCCATATGTAGGAGAAGTTTACTCAACCCCCATGTGTCATGTATTAAAGTAGAAGTTTGCTCAATCCCCATGTGTGATGTATTAAACTATACGTTTACTCAATCCCCATGTGTGATGTATTAAAGTATCAATTTGCTGAATCCCTATTTGTGATGTATTAAAAGATAAGTTTGCTGAACCATTATGTGTAGTGAATTCAAGTATAAGTTTACTCAATCCTCATGTGTGATGTATTAAACTATATGATTACTCAATCACCATGTGTGATGTATTAAACTATATGAATGCTCAATCCCTATGTGTAGTGAATTCAAGTATAAATTTACTTAATCCCCATGTACGATGTATTAAACTACATGATTACTCAACCCACATGTGTGATGTTTTAAAGTACATTATTACTCAACCCCCATGTGTGATGTATTAAAGTATTAGTTTGCTCAATCCCCCTGTGCGATGTTTTAAAGTATTAGTTTGCTCAATCCCCATGTGTGATGTATTAAACTAAAAGTTTGCTCTACCACCATGTGTAGTGAAACTAAGTATTAATGTGCTTGATGTGTCATGAAATCAAGGAAGCGGTTACTCTACCCCCATGTGTATAGGAAATAAATAAATGGTGTAATCATCCCATTTTTCTGCTTCGTTTCACGTTGATAGGCTGTTATTGCCTCAGAAAGGCTTTCAAACTTGAGTTCATTCTTTTGCAGTTTTAATTCACTATTTGAGTCCATTTCCATTTCTGACTTCTTGGACCCAATCGTTTACTTGAGTGACGTTAGCTGTGGTTGGTAGCTGTGATTGACCCATCTGAATGGTGGACTGTGGCGATTCCTGATCGTTCTTATGTTTCGTTTTATTTTATCTTCTTTTCATAATATCTGCCCCAAATATTTCCACCGTGTCCATATTAAGACAAATGCCATCAGTATGTGGATAAGGGGATATGATACATGCTTTTATTATCAAGGTATTGTCACGATTATGTTATACTTGAGTATACGTCTTTACTTATTTGATTGGTATTGGTTAACAAGGAAGTTAAATGTCTCCTTCACAATTAACCTACTTGAATACACAGCGGCCAGCTGTAGGTTTAAAAGCGCGTTTTGACAGTAATTTGCTTACCTTGAAGAAATAAGAACCATGTGTCCTCAAAATCCACAGGTAAAGGTGTTACTCCGGAAGACAAACAAGATGGCTATATCTCGTGACATCTCGTGACATCACGAGGTGTGACGATTGAACGTTTTCGATTGGATAGAAACTGTTGTACATCGACGCCCTCACCATGTTCATGTGAATCAAGGAAATAAATATTGGGACGCATGGCGTAACGCAGATGAGCTTGTATTGTTTGAAAAGAAAAGAAAAGAAAAGATATCACTGTAGGAAAAAAAGCGTTGTCTGTCAGAAACAAATGCATTCAAAACGGACATTTATAGTGATGTATATAAATCATTTGTTAAAGATCTAAATTGTATTCAAAGATTATTTCACTATTTGAGCTATTTCTTCAGAAACTGTTCTTTTAATGATTCCTATGAATTTATTACGCTCAGATTTTGTCCTGTTTGCATCACATTGGTGACGGTGCTGCTGTTGGGTCAGAACGTGTTCCCCCTTTTGCGAGCACCTGCTGTTATATCTGGTTCTCGGTGATTCGTTCTTATACTTGTCACTGCAGATTTACCTTCCGCATAAGGTGGAGCTTGTGTCGGCGGGAGGCCGGGCTCATTTGTTCTATCGCGATGGCGTTTTTAGATCCTGTTTTCCCACTGCAGGGTGACCTACATATTTTGTTCACTGGGTTTTGCTGTCTTCAATGTGGTGATTATCTGTGACCTGACAACTGACTGTTCCCTGTATACTGACAACTGACTGTTCCCTGTGTCCTGACAACCAACTGTTCCCTGTGTTATGACAACTGACTGTTATTGTGTATTCACAACTGACTGTTCCCTGTGTACTGACAACTGACTGTTCCCTGTTAACTGAAATGTTGTTTGAAGTTTTACCTAACATTGATAAGGATTATGACTATGGAATAGTGCGTGATTTTGGGAGTGTTCAAATATCATGACAAAATGTTCACATGTCTACTATATATGAACAGGTGTTAAGACGTATCATCTTTCATTATTATTTATTTAGTGTTCCTTAGTAATTGTTCTTTCCCATTAGAGGCTCTTTGCTAGCGGAAATGAATAGTTACGATTACGATGACAGAAATGGCATATATCATAGACAGTTTGGCAGAGTATAGGTTTTAACAAGGAATCTATATGTTTTAACACAAACGTTTTACATATTGCCCTAAGTTAAGTAAGTTAATTATATCTATTTTAATATTCACAACGCTGCCGATACAAATTAAAACAGTAGATGTAGTATCATTACGAT